GGCATTTAATATTCACATAGAGAATCCATTTATCATCACCAGTGACAACTCTGTACAAAAATGGTTCACGCGCATTACGCACCAGAAAAAAACGAAGCAACGTTCACATGTTGGAAACGATGATCATCGGAGAGTTCGTGAGGCACCCAAACACCTTCTGTATGGAGTTTTCCCATATTCCTTAGATGTTTACATATTATTTCATGATACACATGCAATTTCAGGTCCATTTCATGAGTGTGTTGCTTTGAGTTACTCAGCAAGCATCTTCAGAACATCAATATCAATTTCAATATTTCGATCCCTGCCATCACAGTTTTTAAGGCTAAAGTCACCTGAAAGAAATTTGCTGAACCATCGTTGACATTTACGAACATTCAAAACATTTCCATAAACTTCTTTGATATTATTTGTGGCTACAGAGGCGTTGTTTCCCTTCTTGTATTCAAACAGCATCACATGCCGAATGTGTGTCTCTTCGTGTGCCATCACTATAAGAGATTAGAGTATACTAAACTTTACACATTATATATGCCACAGTAACGTGACGTTTAGGCGGTTCGTTTAACTATTATTTGTGATGTACTTTTTTTAATGCGACATTAATTTCTTGACAACCTAACAGTTTGTATATCTTCACAAAATTTGGCAGTCTTTCAGTAAACATTATAAGTCTTTCACATACAAAAATATCATATTTTTTAGTGAAGTATTTTTAATAAATTAAAAAAAAAATTTGTCTATGAATATATCAAGTATTTTTTTTACCAGTCCGCATGCAAAGTGATTTTTTCATGTTAAGATTAAAAATACTTTTCTTCATCTCAAAAATCTCAAATTTCATTTGCATAATCTCTAAAATCTCCTAGATACATTTCAAATGTTTGTTTCAGTAAAACTTTGTATCTTATATGTTATTTTCTCTACCCTAAATGACCAACCTCATAATCAACCAAAAAAAAACTCGAAATAAATCTAAATTATAATTTTTCTTTTTAGAATGACTTCAAATTCTAACATGAAACTACATTTGTTTATCCTAAGTAGCTTTAAACTTGTAACAGTATACATCAGTTTTTACTTAAATTTTATTATTTGAACCATATCTAACTAATATTCCTCCATTATAAGTTGTAATTCACTTGGGGAATGTGGAGCTCACAGTATGCTATTGAATTGCGTTACCCATGAGCTATTCTAAACTACTCGTGTGCGTGTCTTGTGAAACATTTTTATTATATTATTATTTATGTTACCTAATCTAACCTTACTAACCTAAAGAGATCCCTATTTTTACATTTTAGTTACTTTTATAATAATAAATAAAGAAAATGCATGAAAAATAACAAATAAAGTACTTACCCTGGTCTTTTTTTGCTGTTGATGACACTTTACCCTACTTTTTTAACACTAATGGTAGTAATGTACTAAATAATTGTTATTTAATTAAATCATGAACCAAAAAACATAGAATAATAACATACAAAAAGCAGACAATTTCCCCTAACTATCACAATTTTTCTGGTTTTCTAACTATGCGACAAACACTGTTACAAATTCATCGTTATCTTTCCCTTGCGAACAAAGCTTCTGAAGAACTGACACTTCTCTGTTCAGAAAATAACATAATATAATACGTAATTTGATAGATGAAAACCTTGACTTTCTATTGGTTATAGTTAATACATAATTAGGTGTAAGAGAGAACTATTAATAAATCCTGAAAGAGAGGATGTGACAGGTGGGTGTGGCCAGAGGGGTCTGATTTTCTACTTGATGGCTCAGTAACCAAACAAGATTGAAGGCTTTAAAAGTTATGTTTTGTTTGAGCAACGATGATTTAATAGTGAGTAATTTACGTGAATAGAATAGATAAGAAGGGTTACCTAGAGAAAATGTCACATTTCTCACACTAGGGGAAATTCAGGATTTTTAAAAATATTGCCTTGTAAAATTAAGAACTTAACATATATACTATTAAAATATGTATTATTAGTTATGATTTTATGCTATACTAATTGGTATAACATAAACAAATAGTAGTTTAATTAAAATTTGAATGTAAGTCACTAAAACCTTGTGACGTGCAGTAAAGGATGGCTGTGGCGAGAGGGTTAATTAATTAATCATAAAGTTAAGTAGATGCAATTGTCTCAGATATTAATTGACACGAACCTGGGTTTTTATAGTTCTACTCGGGAAAAAGTACTCCTCACATTCCTTATCGACTCCTTCACCTTGTGTGGACACATGCTCGACACCTGGCTGGGTATGAGCAGCAAGATGCTCATGAATTTTTCATAGCAACCCTAGATGTGCTACACAGGCACTGTAAAGGTAGGAACTATTCATTGCTGTAAGTTTACAGTTATATAGATATTGTAAAGGTAGGTAACCACTCATTACTGCAAGTTTACTGTAACACATACATTTCGTAAGTAGATACCAATCATTGCTGTCCGTCTTAATGTTTAATGGAATATTTTATGCAAATCTGTTTATTTTGCTGGTGATTTCTTATCAAAATTACTTGTATGGCACATTTGAAAATAGACCAAACAGACCAATACAAATTGGCATTGAGCATTTATAAAATAGGAGAAAATTTATGCTATGTTTATGACCGACTTTCCAAGTGCACGTGAATGCGAATTATTTTGTCGTACAAGTTTTCCGTCATTGATAGTGTTTTAAAACTTGAGATTGTATAAAATGCTGCAGCTCAAATGTAATTCTATATCACCTCTGAAACGTCTTATTTCTGGATTTACATTTCTATGTGAAATCAAAAATAATACTTTTAGGTCAGCAGTTGTTGGTGCGTAACTGTTGTTTATCTGAGAATCGGGGCTGCCATTAACCAATGCAATTTTAGGCATGGATATTCATTTTAAACTATGGGAATGGAGCATAGAGGAGTGGGTGTATCAATCATGTAAGTACCAGATATGAATACAGAGTAGAAACATTAGAAACCAAATATGCCATTGAAAAGGAAAAAAGTTATAATTTCAGTTTCGATAAATATATGTCTCCATTTCTTAGGCCAATAACTTTACTAAACAAACATGCTTTGAAATGCCTTTAATTAAGTTACCAGTAAGATTGTAAAAGCATTTGTAACCTTGAAAAACCTGTAAATGTGGATTAAATCCCTTTCAAGTGTGACGTAGTTAAAGGTGAAAGTAGGAAAATTTGGAAACTAATTTTTAAATTGTGAAGTAGAATCTACTTGTGAAATCATAGCAAGATGAAGATGAACCT